CCAGAGCCAGATGCATTAGCATGTGTGTTTTAATCGTGGAAAAGGAAATTTTATTCTATGCGATTAATACAAAGTATTTTGTATCCAACAAAAATAGTATTTTTGTCGATAAAACAGATGGCTTTAGCATCCTCTTAAACAGCACCTATACTATTTTATTAACATAGACAGAATTATAATTCTCTTTCCTGTTTAATATAAATATATAAGACTTAAAGATGCAATTAAAAGTAAGGAATTGTAGAAATTCTGCAGCAAACAATTCTGATGCATAAATTTATTATTGATTAAATTAATTGTAATTTGATTGAAATCATTCAAACATCGAATTTAATTCAATCAAGAATTTATTGTTGGGCCATGAAATCCATTTCTTTTAATAAAAATATGTTTTAATTGTTTAATTAATTAATATAAATCTTATTCTAATTGTTTCGTAATTTCCATTTTCTAAATATTAAAATGTAAATATATAATTGTTGATAGTTTATAAATTTTTCCTCGTTCATAAAGTTAAGCGCAGAATCATTAAATCGTAATGTCATATATAGAGAGAGCTAAAGACGCTGAAAAAAAGAACAACGAACACGAACTTAAGAATGAAAGAGAGAGAGAGAGAGAGAGAGAGAGAGAGAAAGAGAGAGAGGAAGAAGTTGATTTTGATTTCAAATGTATAAACAGAGAGCCATTTATACATGCATTTATGGATAGCCATAAAATATCCAAAAAGATTAATTAATTAAATAAATTAAACTTAAACAAAATTATAAATTTTGAATTAGAAATCTCTTGGAATCTTTTATTTTTTCCAAGAATTTTTATAAAAATTACACATCTAAAATAAAATAATCTAATTTTAATATGAAAATAAAAAAATAAAGAAACACGAAGTAGTTTCTATATTAATCACTCTCCGATCCTCAGATTTCCTGAGGACGAGGATTGCTGGAAGAAGTGGTTGAACGCGATTGGCGAGGCCAACGGGGACGTACTCGCTCAATTGTCGTTGTGCTCGCGTCATTTCTCGCAAGCTTGCTCCTCAGGCTTGATTTTGGTGGACAATGCCGTTCCGACTTCGGAACTGGCGCCAACTTCCTTCGGATCGATCGCGAAAGCCACAGGAACGGATCGATTGTCACCGCAGAGAGAACCGGAAGTCCGGCGATCATCGTTATTACGTTCGTTACCGTCGTCGATCAAGAGACCGACCATTACGAGGTGAGAAGATAATTAATCAGAATAAAGAATGTTCGTCAGAAATAAAAAGGCGATCGATTGACAATTTAAATCAATAGTTTTCCCTTAGAATTTTCTATACTTAAAACACACATATCTTGAATCTCTGTACTTCAATTGAAGCTTCGCCGAAAAAAAACACGCAGAAAAATTTGCAGAATCGTGATTCGCGTTTAATTAATTAATCTCCCGAAATTGAATAAGCAATCGATGACTGCAATCTCTGGCACCGATCGTGTCGTGTAAAACCTTAAGATTTTCCGATGCGACCCGTACGATGTGCGCGTTGCTCTCTTTTTCAAGGGGTCGGCGCGTTCACATGTTGTCGAAGGAGGAGATGAAGGAAATGCCACCGATCAAGTACGTGCGCTACCTCAAGAACGTCAACTGGGACGAGATCTGGAAAGTGCCGGAGGAGGCGAAGATCGTTTGGGAGGTAGCGATGGAGGAGCTGAAGGAGGACAACGATAAGATAAAGCATCTGCAGGCGCACGTTCGCCAGCTCAGTGTGACCATTCAGAAACTCAAGAATGCTCTGAAAACGCGAAAGAGCCTTCGCCAATGCCTTCCTTTAAGCTTATAAATTTGTAAATAATGCGGCAAAACATTTTTTTTAATCTAACCTTTGTAAGTATTCAAGATTATCACGTGAAATTAATAAAAAGCAATTTCAATACAAGGTCGTTATATGCGTATACAACAACTAATGAAGGCGAATAGAACCAAATACGATCGAGATTTGGTTACCCAATAATACTCTTAAGTTTCAAATCTTTTATAAAGCTATTGTAAACCGCGCGCCGATTACTGTCGGTCTTTAAGAATGCAGTCATAACTTAAAGCTGAAATAATATTACATATTTATTAAATTAATCTTCGATTCAATAATGATGCTGATAAGCGTCATTCTTTACAGTGTTTTAACATTGCTTGTCAGCGTCATCATCGAATCGAAAATCAATCATTCAATAGATATATGTATAATATTATTTCAACTATAAATTATGACTGCGTTCTCTTAAAGACCGATAGTCGGCGTGCGGTTTACGATAGATGAAACTTAAAAGATTTGAAAATTAAGAATGTTATTGGATAACCAATATCTAACCTCGGCTATATTTGACTCTCTTCCCCCTTATTAATTGTTTAATAAAAAAACTCTTATGAATAATAAAATATTTTACAATATCTTTTAATATATCACTTTAACTGTTTACGACTAAAATGGAATTCCTTCTTCTAAAATAATTTAAAACTTTATAATGATTAATCCTTTAAAGAGTAACCCAAACAATCGCCCGTTTTTTAGACCGAACTGTGTGTCAAATGATACCTTATAATGAGACATTAATTATAGAGAAGTTTCAAGTTGAGGTGACAATTGTTATCAAAGCTGGAGGAGAGGGGGGGAATGAAATCAAAGTTCATTATGGAATTATCACAGGTCTGCAAGGTTCGATATTTTAGAAAAAGGTTGATCCAATTGATGAAGGATCGCAATTTTACACAAATGACGCTCGTTTTGGATGTAAAAGATCGAGTTTTTGCGTAAAGAGACGTAATAAGTGATCCCCTTCCAGCTGTGATAACGATTGTCACCTCAACCTGAAACTTCTCGATCTGTAATTAATATTTCATTATAAGGTGCCATTTAGCACAAAATCCTGCAGTTCCAAAATCGAGGGCCCCGAAAAACGGGCGAAAGAACCACCTTTTTTTGGGTTACTCTTTACAGACATCTCTATCGCCGCTTAAGCCTTTTAAACGTTAAATAACAATATAATTTATTGAAATAAATAACATAAGCGTTTTTCTATTTTGTATCTGATTCTCGGGCTCATTCTCGATTTATGTAGCCGCGAACAAATAGCAAAACGGGACATCCAAACGGTAGCGGAAGTACCGCAATTACGCCGCGAATAAGATCCGTTTTCCCTTTCTCTATTATGGCGAATGAGACTAAGCTGATTTCCGCTGTCGCGCTGTTTGCATTCGACAATGCGACTGTACGAGCAGAGAAACGCGCCGCGGCAAAAGCAAATGCGTTCCGTCGGATGGTGGATCCTTTCAGAGAAGACAAATGCGCGAGTCCTCGTTCGCATTCGCGTGACTCCCTCCTGCCTGTGACAGTGGTATGCGGCGCGCGTAATACGTTTACCACCGACAGCAATCGGGACAAAATGTACGGGACGAAACGGGGTAAACTAGAAATGGGAGGGCGCCAGGCGAAAAACGAAGAACGATGCGCTAGCGAGACCCACTATAAGGGACGAAAGCAGCGGTGGAATCGTTTTATTCGTTACGTGCAGTATTTTTGAATAAACCTACTTAATTAAACGATAATAAAATACCGATTATAGAAAAATTAAAATGATAGTAATATAATCCATATCTGAATTATTATTAATTAATAAGAAGATAGTAATATATATAATCTCTATGGATCGTTAAGAATTGTTTTAAATCAAAATATTATTAATTTAAAGGTAATAATTGAAGTTTTTAAATTAAAATTAAATTAAACTCAAAGAAGACTATAAATTTTTTTTTAATTAAAATAATATTAGCATCGCGATAATTAATAAGTTATAACTTTATCCTTTATAACTTCAAATAAATTTAGATAATAATTTTCCTCAGTATCGTCGCGTCTACCATAGAAAGCTATTATCTCGGGAAGGAGATAGATTAATATGAAACTTTTTAGTTTGTGTGATACTAAAGTAAACGTTTCTCGAACGTTAAGTAAAAATTGCCGTTTAGCTCGCCTCTTGTATGGAATTTCTCCGGCAGCGCAGCACGAAACAAGCGAGTGAAGCGAACGCGCGGGAAGATCAAGGCGGAGAGGATAACGCTGATAGACAGATGGAAAACGAGAATAACAGGCGGTGCAGGCAGAGGAGGCACAGGCGGGCAGCGAGAGCGCAAGAGGATCGAAATGCATTCGCGATCCCCCGGAGAACCACCACCCCCTCCCCTCCCCCCCGGAGCAAAGCTCTGCCGCAGTACACTAAATCACCATCCCCCGGGTGTGGTATACGCCCGTATACCCGTGGCGGGATGATGGCGAAGGGGGGAGGGACGAGTATTGCGCGCGCGCGCGAGCCCGGTCATTCTTTATATTTTATTCACGTTTCATTTCATCCCTGGCCTCCACGTAGCCGAAAAGAGCGGACGGCCCGTAACGAGAGCGACAGTGCACATCATCGTGCGAGATGCAGTCTCGCATGCAGCCGGAGATAGGATATACGTAGGTACGTGCGATGATGTGCCCTATCGCGCCACGATAATTCTCACGCGCCATTCGTTGTCTTCGGAGAAGATGGAAACCAATCAAGATGTTGATCCTTTTTTTGAGGAAACGACGGTAATTTTGGAATGAAAGAATTATTTATATGGATTATTGTGACGGGGTTAAATTAATTTTTACATCTAACGTATAATTAAAGATGATTATACGCATTTATTAGTGCAATTATAAAAAATGAAGACACGTATGACTATGATAAACATAGAATTCTTTAAATACTGTTTAATTATAAGAGCAATAATGATTTATATAGCTTAAGATTATAATTTATTGGCAATGATATTTATTCGGGAATAAAACTAAGCAAGCGAAATTGGCGCTCCGGATTACATTTGGAAGTTCAGGAAGAATCGGAGGAATCCGATGCCGCGGATAATATAAGTAATAATGCGAGCTCAAAGGAAAAGGATAAGATTTAGAAAATCGTATATAAAACCTCTTGGGAGATTTATTTCACAAAGAGACGGGAAACGCGCGCGCCAATTCGGCCACACAAGGAGACGTCGTGCATGTTTCACCGCACATACAACAAATCTGCATTCTTCTTTTTACACAACATTGCGTCATAAAGTCAGCCACGTAAAGACAGCGAATCGAAAGCTTCTCTCTGTTTCAAACGTCGCAACAAGCCGGAAACTCGTTCGTGCCGTCCCACCGACAGTTTCATACCAGCGATGTGATGTATCATTTTTATTGCCCTTAGTGGCAGCTTTAAACTCGCAGCACCGCGAAAAGTTAGGACGTATATGTCACACGGAGGAAAATTTTTACGTTTTCTCTGCTTTTATATTACACCGGACTTCGATATTGACAGATAAACAAGGAATTTTTATTTTATTCAACATATTAATTCGCTCGATAATACCTCGATGATATAAACCTTTGGAATTTAGTGAGGATAATAAGACTGGCCTGGCACACCTTGAATTTGGAATAAAACGCGAAAAACTCGCGAGAACAAAAGAACTTCCTCCGCGGTTATTATTTATTCTGTAACGCAAAGAGAATACCTGAACAATGGGCCCTTTTCGCGCGTTTACTTTTCGTTTTCACGCGCTTTCGAGCGTCCCCCTACATTTTTCAGCATTTTCACGCATTTTCTCACAGGTGCGCGCCATTAAACGCCGCGGGGGCTGCTCGCGTCGAAATATTCGGCGTACGTGCGCAACTGCGCTATCGCTGTTGCAGCGGCTGACTATCGAACGAGTTCGCTACTGAAAGGCCAACTTCACCCTCGTCGCCGGACTATAAAGTGCCCTATCTACTGCGAGACTGTACTGGGAGATATAGATCCTTGCCCGAAATTCAAATTTCCGATGTTGCACTGGCGCGGCGCCCGTAATCTCGATTAAAGAGCCAGAGGGTGTCTCGACTCAACCTCGACCTACCCTCCGCTCTTTTCATTCGGCTTCAAACTGTGTCGCATATTTCACAATTCAAGGATAAAAATTCTCGCTAAGAAAGATAAAAAAAAGAGAATAATTTTAACAGGGACGCTGCTATTCTTGCAATGTTCAATTTGGAATATCTAGGTGAACGGAATGTATCGCCGACACTCTCGACACACCCCGTATAACGGACTGCAGATTTCCGCGCGCAGTTTGGCCGGGTGAATATAACTAAGCTGTTTCCCATGACTGAGCGATTAAAGCAATTTCGACATGCTCAAGTTGTGATTCCGTTATGCGCGCGGCAAAATCACACGGGGTGATTCCGACAATGGTGGACGTAAAGCGATAACTCCATGCAGTGTCGAACGTATTTCGCGTATAATTTTAGTGTATAAGCAAAATCAACAAAGTTACTGTCAACTACACGTGCACTCGCTTTAAAAAAACTAATTTATTTTAATATATCACTGTGTACATTTCGAATAATATATATATTTGTTTAACTTTAATAAATTTTATTAAATTTTTTTCAAAGGATGTGTACATGCGTTCGCATTCACGTTTTCAGTTAAATACACACCTCTGAAAATTTATTTAATTGTAGATAAAAAATATATATAATATACTTTTTTTTCTTAAGCAGAATAGCGGCTGGAGAAACTTGACCGGGGAATTTATTTCGTCCATTACAAGCCCTACCTACGCCAAAATTATCCTGTACGTGCCCTCCCATGCCGGCTCGCCGGCCGCGCCATAAAGAGCAAACAACTTTTCTAATAAACTCGATTGCCGGCCGACACGCCAGGCGCGTTATGTCGCGCGTTACGAGCCGACCCGACTGCAACGGTATCGCCTTAATGCCCTCGTGGTTGCCCCCGACAGCGTGCTCGAAATTTCGAAATTGAAACACTGCACGAGCAGTGCTCACACCCGCCCTCCTCCCCTACCCTCCCCTCCCCTCCCCTCCCCACCCGCCACCACCGCTGCCCACGCGATCCCACAGCGATAACGCGCGCTATAAATCTCGCCTCGTACTACATTCCCCTGTTCACCGAAAGTTTTACGATCGAGATAAACCGCTCGCGCATCCCGCTCGCGCCGATTCACGCCGTGTGAATACGAAAGAAAATTCGAAGAACGCGAAGCCGCGGACGAGTCACGGACGTTAATCGCGCGGCGCGGATTGGGATAATTAACTCCTGCTCCCGTTTCCGTTTCCCTCTGGTTTGCAACCGCTAACGGCTAGTAAAATTTATATACCTAAATCCTTCTCATGAGCTCGTAACGATATTTTTCAAGCATTATAATTCGTTATATAGTTTATTATACTTATATATTATATCACACTTTCAATAACTCCGATCTCTGATTACATTTTTCTAAACTAAATAATTAACGACGATATATTAATGCATTTAGTTATACAATGTACTGTAACACATATTTTCACTCTCGTTCAATTTTAAATTTATAATTTAAATATTTTAATCGAGACTATATTAGAGGTGTGCGAATCAAGCATTTGCATGACCAAATCGAATCAAATCGAATTTTTTATAACATGTCCGAAATCGAATCGAATCTGATCTCTTTAATTCGAATATGAATCAAATCTGAATCAAATTTTCCCAGATTAACATTATATATTAATTTAAACGTAACAAATATCAAAATTTATGATTACATTATTTTATGCAATGATTTAAACAAACTGAAGACATGTTTTCGATTTACATCTCATTATAAAGGATCATGATCTTATGTGATATTTTGAATTAGAAAATATTTATAATATGTGTATACACGAATAGTTGGAATGCTTTTAAATATTTTATTAATCTATATGAATACATTACATATATCAAAAATACTTATTTATTAGATAAGAATAATTGTTCGCGCGGGAGATATAAATGAACCAAATAAAATAGGCGATCAATTCGAAATCGAACCATTGTTGATTCGAAATTCTCGAACTATTCGATTTCGAATCTTGCAGATTCGAAAATGAACTCGAATCAAATCTACTGTGATTCGATTCGATTCGATTCGAATTCAAACTATTCGCACACCTCTAGACTATAAACAAAATTATTTCAATGACATTTTGTCCTAACGACCTTCTCTCGTCTCTGAATCCATAATCTTATGCGCGACCAATTTAAATATTTTTAATTCGTGTTCAATTGCTAATATAAATTACTGATGTTATTTTTTACCATTTCGCATAAAGCAGAAATACGCTTCAGCAATTCGTGGGGAAATAATTACATTTAAATATCGCGTGTTATTTAACGCTCTCGCGAGTATTAACGCATCGAAAGAGAATGACTTACCGTACATCTGCTGAATCCCATGGCGGTCGTCCTCCGGCAGCTCGTAGTTGGGGCTCAGTCCCTGGTACCAGGGATACATAAGAGCACCCTGGACCGAGCTGTGCGCCAGTCCCAGGGAATGACCGAATTCATGAGCGGCCACCGCAAACAGGCTGGTGCCTGAAAGAAATACAGGAAAATATATTCAAGACCGTCTTAGCTTTACGTTGCACTTTGCGTTTATGTCAACTGCAATACTTACGGGTATTGCAAGATAAGAGTCGCATACAGATTCGCGAGAACCACAGCTTCTTTATACATGGTAACTTAGCAAAGATTTTGCGAGGGCAAAAACGATAGATGGAAAACGTTAAATTTATTAAAAAACAAAATCACACAAAGCAGTTAATATCTAATATCTTGTCATATTATATATGGCACAATATAATTTTTATTTATATTAATATATTACTCTTTTTATTTAAAATATATATTTATCAAACAAGTTGAAAATCAACTTGCAAGCAATAATTTCTTATAAGAATAAAATTAACATAATTGGAGTATATTTTTGAAGAATAAAAAATAAAATAGTGACTCCTTAATAAAAATATATAATTCTATTATAAGCTAATATTTTATTTTACTATTTTCTAGAAAAAGATATTGTTTATTTTTCGAGAAAATAATATATTTGCGGATATAGTTCTTTGTAAAATTATTCAAGCAACGATATTCGCGTCAATTTAATGCAATCCCGAGTTGCATTATTTTAAATTTTAAAATCAACTTGGACGCAATGTCTTTTTATAAAAATGCTCAAAATAGTTTTATCCTTGACACCTATATCCCTATCTTTTTTATCATTGCCAAAGACATCGAGTCATGCTAGAGAAAAGTGTATCGAAACTTTTTCGCGTTCTCGTGCCGAGTTTTCCGGGCAATTGCATCGGGAATTGCCACCGCCGCCGCTGCCGCCACCACCGCGGAATCTCCGCCTTCATTTCGTTTCGTTTCGCTTCGCTCCGATTCGATTTCGACCCGCATCGAGGAACTACTTTTCCAGATATGGGTTAGGATCGTAAAGTGATCGCCGATTCGAGGGGGAGAGGGGACGAAGGGAGGGAGAGAGGGAGAAAGGTTGCTGTCGCCGGAAAAATTGATAGTACAGCGAATTGTTGCTTGCATCGCCGAGAAAAATCCACAGTATACTAATCAACTGATACTGAAATTTCGCAAAAAAAACTCTAGTTATAAATTTTTTACAAAATTCAGTCGTCATAAAAGATGTGTAAACTGTTCATAAAAACTCGTTTCATTACAAAAGAAAAAATCTCTAAGAGATTACAAAATATATTTATGTAAAAATATATAAAATTTCTGTGTACATTCCATAAAAAATTATATGTATATTTAAAAATTCAGCAAAATATTTAAGATCCACCAGAATTCTATTTAAGTGTAAATCTATACTTTGTTGTCAACAAATAAATTTAAGGCCGAATATGAATAAATCTATTCATAATCAATAATTATTTTACGAACATAATAACAGTTTCATAAATTTCTGATTATTCGTCAATTTATATTTAATTTTTACAAGGATTTATAATCGCTAATTTAATATGAATTACTTGTTGTTTCAACAATCTTAGATTTCTCGGAATAATATTTTATAGAGTTTAAAACGTGTCTGACTTATATTTTTTTTGTTTACAAATAATTAATAAGTTTTCTTCTTCTAACACATCTTCAAACATATACTAGTTATAGTCATTCAGTTATAGTATTCTTATATAATTATTAAATAAATTATTAAATGATTTTGTATAGGTATTTTTTAAATAATTACTTCTGAGATTAAAAAATATCAAACAAAAAAGCCGTAATTAATTATGGCGTTACTTAATAAATCTATGATTATTTAAGCTAGTAATTAAAGATTAGAAATAAATAATAATAGATCTTCGTCAATAATAACAGATTTTTGAAATACAGATCCATAAAGCAGAGATCAGTAATTAATTACGCTCTCAATCGAAGATTGAAAATTATTTACAATTATGAATACCTAAGAGTAATCAAAATTTATAACAATTTTTAATACAATTTTTTTAAAAAGTTTCACGCATTTGTTGCAGATCCAGTTGAAGATTCAAAGTTATCGTACCTCCTGAGGTGTCGTTATTCATTTAAAGATCGTTCGAACGTAAAACCTTGTAGAGCATAAAGCGATAAGGGTGTAAAAGGTACGTAACGTGTCTAAAGGTGTCTGCGAATTGCTGATATACCCATTCGTAATCTTCTGTTTTTATCGCGCGAGCTTATGAGAAACGCAAAGCGATAAAACCGGGTTAAAATCGCTCGCTCGAAAAGCCGCGCGCGTTTATCATTTATCGTCGATCTGGTTTACGTTTACGCGCATTACCTCCGGGATCGCGTCAAGGGGCGGTTTTCGCTGAATACAGAAATATTACTGGCGTGACGAGTATACGTTACGGCGCAACGGGGAAACTTTCGTTATATTCCAAGGAGAGATATGGTCGCCTCTTCTTGGGTCACGCCACGTATTCGTCTCTCGCGCGAGTTAAACGAGCAGAGAGACGTGACTAAAGACGAGACAACGGGACTTCCGTGTCGCGCTAACTTCTAAACGTGTGTGAGAAATTATTTTATACGATATTTACTTTACCACGATATAGTATATTGTTATAGTTAATTGAGAAGAAACTGCGAGTAAAAGCACTACAAAAAAGAAACAGTAATCATATCCTCGTGTATTTTATATATAATACATATTATTTGTATAAAAAGAGAAGGATGTCTTTAAGAAAATAAAAATTCTTTATATGAAAAGATCATCACGTCAGCATTTCAGACAGATGTTTCTCACTTATTCTTGATTTGCCACTCCTCATCGTGGATCTTCAACTCTGACCGATGTGCGAACACTCGAAAACCATTAGCTTAAATGATCGTCGTAAGCGATATCGCGCTACAAGCCAACGGTTAATAATTCTCGTTAGGCAAACGCAATTAATGGCGAAACAGCCGTCGCTTTAAATTAACCCTGTTTGAACAGAGAGAGAGAGAGAGAGAGAGAGAGAGAGAGAGAGAGAGAGAGGGAGAGGACGATACATGTTCAGGAGAACAAATGTAACCGATTTGCGAGCAACGTCCAACCGCAGTTATGTCAGTTATGAATTGCTAATGTCGCGTCGCTGATGTCACGAGCGAATTCTGTCGCACTGTATCTTCGCAAATAGCGAGAAACTGAGACGCGACGGTTTTGTGAATCACATTGCGGTATAATAGAATGTACCGAGCGAGAGAGTTAGTTCGCTTTTCGGGAGATCGCTATAACGGCAATTGGACCGAATGTGTTGTGCTAATCGTTTCGATCGCGGCTTGATTTCATTTTCCCGCCATAAACGTTTTTCCTCTATTCTCGCGACCACTTTAATTCTCTTAGGGTGTGTTTCGATTTTACTTCCAGTAATTACAACGCGCTGAGAGCACGCCTGTGGATTTTACAGAATTTTTCGTAGCTCTCGTGAATCTCACGAACTCGGAATCTCCTGGAGATAAAAAGAGAGCGAAAGAGAGAGAGAGAGAGAGAGAGAGAGAGAGAGAGAGAGGGGCGGAGGAAGAGAAGCGAAGGGAATGCATGCAAAAAGCGAAGATCGTGGGGGAGCTTAATTTCTTTCAGCAAAACGCGAGCGTGCTCCGAGATTTTAGTTCTTTTTGCTCCGAAACATCCGCTCCCACGCGGCCGACCGACGGGGCTTTAATTCTTTTAGCGGTACATCGATACCGCAAAAGGGCTCCTCTGGCACGGTTAACGAGAAAACCAACTCCAAGTAACTATCTTACCGAAATCAAACTCGTCGTTTATCATGAACTTGCATACGTGCCAGAATCACCGTCATTTTCTTTTAACTTTTTTTCGTGCTTTCAAAAACAAATTATCACTTACCTTCTCGACTAAAATTCTGATTTTTTTTATTCTTTTTACCTCTACCTCCTCGACTAAAATTCTGATTTCTTTTATTCTTTTTAATTATAATAATAATATTCTTTATTATTCGACTTTTTGAGTATTTTTAGTAAGCAAAATCAAAATCTTCTGTAAGAAACTTCAGGATTGACTGAATTTAAATGTACATGTAAAATATTATTCTTAGCTATCTGTGTTCGCTTGTATACATACAATATTTTTTACTTATTATTTACAAAAACAGATGTATTTTCTGACATTAAACATTTTTATCTATTATCATCGTATGTCCGGACAAAAGAATTAAATTGTAGTCATGACACCTCGTTGCTAACTCGGCCATTGAAATTAACTATTTTAATACGCATGTAGCAGATGATAATGGCAAAGAGAGAGAGAAAGAGAGAGAGAGAGAGAGAGAGACTCCTGCGGTGTCGCAGTAACGTACGGCCATAATTATGCTAATGTGCACTATGAATGCGACCGGCTGCGCCCGCGAACTAAGTCGGCGCAATATTAACGATGCCGATCGCGGGATCGGAACGTTGGGCGAGTTCGTGGGGCCCAAATAATAATCTACCGGCGTAATTGTGCCGAAGCGAACGCCCGATTTCCGATAGCGGAACAATAGTCCGATTAATTAATACCTACGGCTAATTAATAGCCGAGACGTGACGGTGATTAAATCAGCCTCTCCCCTCGTGCTGGGAGAACGAGAAAATTAACCCCGCGGCTTTGCCAAGTGCAAGGAGCCGCGCTTGCAAGGAAACACCGGGCGGAGGATTACACAGGAGGAGGAGGGGCGGACGCGCGCCCGCTATCACCGCCGGCGATAAGGCCAACGATGTTGTTATTAAGAGTTTCGATTAAAGTTTCGCCGAGAGAAAATTCCCCGGCTAGCGTGGCCATGGGGAACACGTTAAAATGAACTTTAACCGCGTTAAGCGCTTAACGCGCTAGTTAACACGAGAGTTTCAAGTGTTCGCGGCCAAGGGGATCCTCTGTTAACGAGGGAAAAATTTGCGTTTAGATAAAGCTTTGAACTTTTCAATCAAAAAACACTTTTCTCGCCTCTTCTTTTTAACGTCGAAGAAATCTTACAGTCATATAATAATAATAATAATAATAATAATAATAATAATAATAATAATTTTATTGCGCATGCACTTGAATTTAAATAATATTTAAAATATTAAATATTATTAATATCACAATAGCTCCGTTTCCGAGTATTTCTGATTTATGCCAATCTTTCCGCCGATCTTTCGACAGTCAAAATTTTGTCGAGATTTTTCCGTTATTCCGTAAGATTTCGTGCAGAGAAATCCCCATTTGAAATTGACCGAAGAGAAATGATGAACTCTGATCATTTCGCAAACATATAGGTATTCATCATCCATTTGCCGTTTCTTGGAAAAACATTCAGTGTTTGTTTAAGCGATAGGTTGAAATGCAAAATTATAAGCTCGACAGTTACAATTCTTATGAATCACGCTTTTGTGAATTGCGAAAAGTCGGGAAGGCTCCTCAAGACTTCTCATTCTTCGTTGCAACTAACTTTTCGCGTTGCAGGCAGTTTTATTTTTGCAAAGCGGATTTGCCCGAGCAAATTAGTTCTTGTCGGGGCGGGGGTAGGGGGAGGGGAAAGCTGCTACTTCGAATTGTATTTCGCGGTGTTCATTTCTCCGTTGCTTGAAATCCCCAGGTAGAGAGAGTACACATAGAAAGTGCGCGAAGAAAGTGCGGAAACGTATTATGCAGAACGACATTGCAACGACGACGTAGAAACGTTCGCGAGACGGCAGAAGATGACGGACTTTTGTTGCACAGCGGTCGATTTGCACACAGCGGGGAAGGGTTCGGAGGGAGGGGGAGGGCGAGCTTATCGACCAAGATACTTCACCGCCGTCTTCTTCCCCGCCACGATAAAATTGTCAACCGCCGTATACAAATTGTCTCTAATTATTCTCTGCTAATTACTCGTCCCGGTAATAAATCAACGGAATAAAACTTACTCAGCGGAAATGAGAAATAATTAAACGGTTGCGACCGGGAACAAAAGTTCCCTATTTTAACACCGAACAATAAATCGAGCACTTTAGAGCTCCCGTGTTAATTAATTAATACGTGTCCGTAAAAGGTAATCCAACATGTATAATTTTCTACAAAAAAGGAAAATTGCCAAATTAATTATTGTCTGACGAAAGGTGTCTGCAGTAAAATATAATAATCCTTTTAAAATAATTTTTCCAGGATTACCTTTAAAAAGTAACATGTTATCGTTACCGTTATATTTTATAAAAAGTAATCCATTATTATTATAGGTTAGTGATTTTAAAAAGTAACCATTACTTGAAAAGAAGTGATTTACTTTTTTGTAATACTAAAATAAGTTCAATTAGATTTCAAATTTACGTTATTTATATAATCATTTATTAAATGTAATAATGAATATTAAAAATTGAAATTCTTTAAAACTAATTGGTATATATATAAAATAATTAAGTTTTTCTTTATATTATTTATTCTTATAAAAAGTTAGATTAAATTTACTTTTATTGTAATTTTTTTTAAACATTATGTCATTATTAAGAGTGCATTCCAATATTCACTGTTAATCATTCACTGAAAATCTATAATATACATGTAATGTGAATTATAGATTTTCAATACTGACAGTGACTATGAGAATGCAGCCTAAGAGTACAAAATATTTTACAAAAACTAAATTAAAAATATATTGTATGATAAAATAAAAGTATAAAAAAGTAATGGCAAATTTGTTACCGTTACTGTAAAAATGTAACTATACATTACCGTTACAGATAAAAAAAAATAACGATTGTTTTTGAAGAAAAATAACGAAAATAACAACATTACTTACTTTCCAACCCTAAATTTTTCTGCGATACAACCTGTATGTATAAAAATAATTAGATGTACAATAATAACCTAATGATAAAATAAATGATAAATGATAAAATCTAATTGATAAAAGAACGTATTTAGCTTTTAATAACATCATTAATATTTCAGTGGCTATATATTACGTACGTAATATCGATTAATGAAATGACATCACGTAAAAGTATGTAATACACTTTACTTATTAAGTATACAATATAAAGTATGTAATACACTTTACTTATTAAGTACAATATAAGCCGATTGAAAAATAGAAGCGCTGTATTTGTATTGTAAATGAGAAATCGCTAGTATCAGCAGGATACATCACAGAGAATATCGAAGCGAATGCGCAAGGTTGCAGCACTTTGACGGCCAGAGACAGTCGGCAGCTTTAACTATTGCGCTGTGGCACGTCGCTTGGCTTATAACTGTTGCAATTACGAGGTCGTAATCACGGAGTGATTCGCGATGCGAATTACGCAATTAAGCAATCTTGATGGAAGCTCGGGGGACGCAGTGGATGGATCCTCGTGACTCGAGCCGAGAAATCGGTTTTCTCTCCCTCTTCCTATCCCCCCCCCTCTCTCTCTCTCTCTCTCTCTCTCTCGGTCTTCGTCTGCGACGTGTCGCCACGTCGCCTCGATTGTGCACTAATTAAACGCACGCGCGCGGTTGCCGACCTGTTAAGGTAACGCTGTTAATCATTTCAACAGGTTGTCTGTCTCTATCCGAGTATGCACTTTCTTGCTGACTTGACTTTTGTCAGGGATTGTCGCTAACTATGTCGCCCCAATTGACACATGGAAGCGCGACCAAAGAAAATGATGTTTTTAAGCGTTCGCGATTCACTGCAGGAGAGGAAAGCTGCAGGTATCAGCTAGGCACCGCGTGCTCTTACATCATTTACATTTTTTTAAATTATTATTATTTTTAAACTATTATATCATTTGTAAGTAATTTATGTGTAAACGTCCATATTGTGTATAAAAGTTCTTCGAAAACGTTAAAGCAACAATCCGACTTCAACAATTTTCAGAGAAATTACTTCACAAAATATTTTTTGTAAAATTCGTATTAAATTTGACCAGCTGCACATGAATGTCGTAATAAATGTTGCATAAAGAGAAACTTTTATTTATATGAGGAACCCGAGTAAAAATAATTGAACAATCGCGTCCATTTAATTGGCAAACACATTTCAATGATTTGGTAATATAATGTTAATTGAAAAATTCGCAGTCTAAATTTTGCGTTGGCTTCGGACAAAAGGAGGGAAATATATTGCCGCAATCGAATTTGCCGAATACGAAGCCGCGCTGTAAATAATTAATATTGGCAAACGTATCACATGCATGTGCTTGAAAAGTTCCAGGCAAAGCCGTTCTTACTGCATTAAAAAAAAGGTAGAAAAGCACATCGGGAGTCGATATAGAGGAAGCTAACAAACAATTCCTCGAATATACGCCACCACATATAAGGAACGCGTGCCGCTCGTGAATACCTTTATATATATGAAACGTCCGTACGTCCGGCGTTTTATATCGATCCGACGATATAACGCCTCTGCCTCGATAGAATCAAAAGGACCGATAGCTTCCTCGAGCTATACGGAGCCGCCTTTTTCCACACAGGCGTGACCGCACCTCTTGCATCGGATGACCGAGTTGGCGCGCCACCAAAACGCCGGACGGCTTGGATGATTGCGCGAAAGTTTAAGGCGCGACGGCAACGACGGCGGCGAGATGCCGGATGAGGAATTCGATGTGTTTGGAAAACATTTGCGCGAACTTCACGAGTTCAAATGTTCATACAAATATATATTGGCCAAACCGATGTTTGATCGACTCGCAACGCCCGGAAAAGTCCAGCCTTTTCGAACAATTCGAGCAGAGACACACCTCGAGGAAAAATTCGTGTAAATAAGCTCACTCGCTACGCGAAGAATTGGAGTAAATAGTATTTATTGGGAAAAACCCAGTTTTACGTGTACGACCTCTTTTCTCTCATCGTTCGTCATCTTTACATCTGTTTCATCTGAATTCACGCGTGCCAATCGCTCACGCGAGAGATCTGCAGAATAATTTGTAGCAGAGATCACACCGAAAAAAATTTCGATTCGCTTACCCTCCTCGTTGCTCTCGTCCTCTAGTAGCCATATCTCCTCCTCGTCGAAGTGAGCATCTCCGCCGCGATCCTTGCCCGGGAAGAACGCGTGCGCCAGGATCTGACCTCTGCCATCGAACGGATATCCGTCCCCGTGATAACCCCTGTACAATTGCGCAACGAATAATATTATCTGGCGAATATATTTGTTTGACACTCGGTCAAACAAAATCATCAGTCGCCATCGAGCTTAATGCTCCATCGCGAATTTGCGATTCTACACAGTTACATGTAATATCACGTCATGTTATTATTTTGTCACGTATACAGTGCACGCAAACAGTTTCGAATGTTGTCGGTGTGGTGCAGCAAGAATTTCTAAAAGTATTAGAACGCTGAAATTTGAACGTGCTCAAAAGCTATATTAAAGCTTCCGTCAAAAATCAAAATCCGTTAATTTATATATTGTTATAAATATTTTAATAATTATTGTTAATTTGTATTACTATAATAACAATGTTATTATAGTTTAATTGATCCTAATTTTACTCAATAGCATAGTATTTGTTATGAAATATTATATTCCTATGCACGTTTTTAGCGTTGAAATAATTTCACTCGTTCAAAATACGGTGGCTGTCAAAAGATTTCAGCCAACCCATAATTATACGACATCTTTTCAAAAATACATGTTATAAATTCTTAATTGTATTAACATGGCGGATTTCATGCTTATTTGTATTTGAAGATATTAAAATTCTTTATATACATGATACAATATATAAGGGAGACCGGGGCACGTTTATACATTCAAAATTGCTGCAAAATGACAAACGGTAATATTATATATAAAAAATATAATATTTCCGTAAAAACATTGCAGTCATGCTGCAATAAGATATTTTGAACTAAATGGCATATTTTCAGAAATAAAAAATAATTTCAGTTTTTGATAGCCAAAAGTAAAATAAATCAGTGATATATTAAATGTTATATTTATAAATCTGTTTATTACATTAGCTCCACTATTTTTTTAGAATATTTACTTTAAGAGTAATAACTTACAATTATATTAACAGTTATATTATTTTTCGCTTATGTAACAATTAAAATATGTAAATATGGTAAGTCGGGACTGGTTATAGGACGGGGTATGTTGTTACAGTATTTATTTTTGTTTTCAACCCATACAAATTTAAAATAATGTTAGATTTCTGTAGTCTTTCCTTAGTGCAATTTTATATTTATATTTTTTTCCACTGTGATTTATGTAAGAGAAAGACTGATAAATATTTATGTTTATATATCATTAGTGTTACATTAATGTGCATATTTTATTTGAAAATTATAAACAAAGTTATGTTATGCACAATTTTTTTTATTTCCTCTAATTAAATGCGTTATATTTTGAAATCTGGATGTGTAACGACTAATTCCAGTAATTGTAACAATTGACCCCGCATATGGGGCCAATTGTTACAAGTTGCATCATTTTACATTTTCCATTAATACAACAAAATTAATTATATTTTTAAATTATAAAAATAATTTCTCTGTTATTGAAGCATGTAACTATTGAAAAATATCTTTACGGTATTTATTTCATTTATATTAGTTACATGTGAAAAAATCATTAAAAAAACTGTATCAACCAGCCCCGGTCTCTCCTATTTAATATTTCCAATGCAGTGAAATTACTCGGCCGGAAATTTTTAGCAGCCACTGTACGTACATATGTACGTCAGGAAGTAGACCGTTAAGTTGATTGAGATTTCAATTGAAGTCAAACCTTACCGGTGGAAGTAGACCAGAATATCGGCGCGGTCGCTGTTGATCTCCTGGAAGGTGAGCTTCGAATTCCTGGCCCAGAGACCGAGGGCCTTACTCAGCTCCAGCCGAACCCCGCCCGTGTCGAGACCGCTCGGCTGCTCGGTTCTCAGGCTGCAAGAAGAGCGAAGGGAATATTCCCGTGTGAGAGATCGATCGATCGATCGGGCACTACGACGACGCGTAGGGCAAGCGCGCGGCGACATATAAACGGCAAATATTTGCGCAGCGCTCGCCAAGACGATCCCGCCCGGCTCCGATAAACGCTAAATAAACTTCGCCTGTGATCGATTGTGCCCATGCGGCTCAAGTATTTGCCTATTACCGATTACCTGGAAATACGCGAGCCCGTCGCGTGTAAGAACGACAGAAATGCGTCGCGCTCGCAGGCAATATTTTAGAGCCGCGTCAACATTAAGTTTGATCAATGATCGGAATAATGGCCCGGATAATCGCTTTAGATTAATTAAACAGTAATTTGAATTGTCTGTTTGACTTTACATTACGGCGGTAACACGTATGTATTTCAATTTATATATGTATGTTACATAATATCCCCAAGCGCTCATTGGCTTTACCTACGCTTTCTAAACAGTTGTAAAACATTCAATATTTAGAAAGTATTTAAAAAATGTTTTATAACCATTTATAATTGCGTTAGACATTTAAGGAACATATGTAAAACATATATGAATCAATGCATGTTGCCTGAGATAAAATAATCATTTAACAAATTTTAATTTTATGTGCGATAATTTAAATAAAAGAAAGAGAGAGAAAGAAAGAGAGAGAGAAAGAGAGAGAGAGAGAGAGAGAGAAAGCATAGTTTATATCGCTTTAAGGGGGGAGCCTTTAGGGTTTAGCACGCTAAAAAATTAGGTGACTTTTTTGGAATTTTTTTTTAGGAAACTATTCAACTAATCCTTTTGAATTTTATTATAATTTCTTATACTATTGAACTAATAAGAAAAAATTTTGTTGTCAGAAAAAAGTATTTATTATGCAAGTAATAATAATATTTATTTGGCGGTAATGATGTTTGGCGGCGTGCAAGATAACTCAAAAACTATTCATCCGATTGACTTGAACCTTTGCACACATCTGCACAAATACTTCCCTAATAACTTGAACCACAGTTTATAATAATATTATTTAATTAAATAATTTTTATTGCATAATAAACACGAACAATTTTTTGTTTTATTTTCTTTAAAAATAGGTTCAGATAATGCGTAAACTCTTTATAAACAATAATTTTTTTGGATTTTTTATTTCAGACAAGCGACTACATTGCACGCTGCCAAACACCATCACCGCCGACGCGCCGAATAAAAGTTACTATTACTTGCATAATAAATACATTTTTCTGGCAAAAAAATATTTTTTTGTTAGTTTAATAGTATAAGAAATTGCCCTATAAAGTTCAAAAGGATTGGTTGTATAGTTTCCTAAAAAAAATTCCAAAGATTTCCTAATTCTTCAGCGTGCTAAACCAGGCTCCCCCCTTAAAGGACTTGTTGATCTGACATATCCAGCTTTCTTTGTAAAAATTTTCTATCTTGCTTAATTACCATATATGCGATTTTAATTATCCTGATTTAATAATTATCCATTAAAAAATGTCTACTGTTTAATTTATTAATTTCAATCTCAAGTGCTACTTCAACGCTTAGAAGATTTTATTTTCAGCCAGGTTTGACCGAAACAAAATTGTATGTATATTTCATATACTTCTCTTTTAAAATGTTTCTTACCAAAAATATCATATCACGTGCGCTTTCCATTTAGCGACACAAGTCGACACAAATGTTATTCTGTCTTTGTTAACGTCATTAAGTATTAAAAAAAATATAAAATGATTTTTGTGTCGACTTGTGTTCTAAATGGAAAGCGCCCTATATAATTTATTAACACAAACATAAATTGCTTATATCCATAAAATCTGGAAGCAATTAAAATTCTCGCTAAAGGCAAAAGTCTTTTATCCCGGCCTATTATCGCTATCACAATTCTTTCGTTTTAAGTCGTTCTTCCGTGAAACTTCGTAATTATGCTTCACGCACAAGAAACCGCTGTCTCGCTTCCGGCGGGCTCGCTGTTATTTACACGAGGTCGCGAGTAAAACGTGTCTCAAGTTTCTTGCGGCGCGGCGGCCGCGAGGTTCGGCGCACGGAAGATACGAAAAGTTTCGCGACTCCGAGAGATGGACCAAATCTTCTCTTTTTTTTTCTCTTTTTTTTTCATCGTCGAGAAACACGTACTTCAAATACGCAAAATAACATGAGCACTTTCGGCATAAGTTAATAAAAACGCCGCGACATAAATTAATTAAAAGTATCTTCTCTCTCTCTCTCTCTCTCTCTCTCTCTCTCTCTCTCTCTCTCTCTTTTCACTCTTTCTTTCTCTCTTCATCTATGACAATAAAATTTTGGATCACATTGCCAAATTAGTAATGTGGCGCGCGTATTATCGAGTGTTATCTTGTTATATTTTCCTACTTTTTTCCTATAAGTAATTCTATAATATTGTTACGATATATATGTTGCTATTAAATTTACATTAGTAAAAACGAACTTTTGCAGATCAATACATAATTACTTTTTTTTCTCCAGATTCATTATAAATAATTTTTACATTTCGACAAATAAAGTCCCTTTTTCAAATGTCAATTAGCCTGCCTTGTTTATCTTTTGTTTAACTTTATTGATTAATATATTGATTAAAATAAAAAAGCCACTATTATTTATTTAAAATATAAGTAACAATTACAATAAAAGACATACATTTATTAACAACGAATTTCCATATTTATTCTTTTATATA